CCCACGCCCCTCTTCCCTCAATACTTCCCCACCCACACCCCTCTACCCTCAATACTTCCCCACCCACACCCCTCTACCCTCAATACTTCCCCACCCACACCCCTCTACCCTCAATCCTCTCTCACCCACACCCCTCTACCCTCAATACACCTCCACCCCCCCACACCCCTCTACCCTCAATACTCCCACCCCCACCCACACCCCTCTACCCTCAATACTTCCCCACCCACACCCCTCTACCCTCAATACTCGCCGCCCACCCCCCTCTTCCCTCAATACTTCCCCACCCACCCCCCTCTACCCTCAATACTCTCTCACCCACACCCCTCTACCCTCAATACTTCCCCACCCACACCCCTCCACCCTCAATACTCTCTCACCCACACCCCTCTCCCCTCAATACTCCCACACCCACCCACACCCCTCTACCCTCAATACTCTCTCACCCACACCCCTCTCCCCTCAATACTCCCACACCCACCCACACCCCTCTACCCTCAATACTCCCCCACCCACACCCCTAAATACTCTCCCACCCACACCCCTCTACCCTCAATACTCTCTCACCCACACCCCTCTCCCCTCAATACTCCCACACCCACCCACACCCCTCTACCCTCAATACTCCCCCACCCACGCCCCTCTACCCTCAATACTCCCCCGCCCACACCCCGCTACCCTTAATACTCCCCCACCCACACCCATCTACCCTCAATACTCCCCCACCCACACCCCTAAATACTCTCCCACCCACACCCCTCTACCCTCAATACACCCCCACCCACCCACACCCCTCTACCCTCAATACTTCCCCACCCACACCCCTCTACCCTCAATACTTCCCCACCCACACCCCTCTACCCTCAATACTTCCCCACCCACACCCCTCCACCCTCAATACTCTCTCACCCACACCCCTCTCCCCTCAATACTCCCACACCCACCCACACCCCTCTACCCTCAATACTTCCCCACCCACACCCCTCCACCCTCAATACTCTCTCACCCACACCCCTCTCCCCTCAATACTCCCACACCCACCCACACCCCTCTACCCTCAATACTTCCCCACCCACACCCCTCTACCCTCAATACTTCCCCACCCACACCCCTCTACCCTCAATACTCTCTCACCCACACCCCTCTACCCTCAATACTCCCACACCCACCCACACCCCTCTACCCTCAATACTCGCCGCCCACGCCCCTCTTCCCTCAATACTTCCCCACCCACACCCCTCTACCCTCAATACTCTCTCACCCACACCCCTCTACCCTCAATACACCTCCACCCACCCACACCCCTCTACCCTCAATACTCCCCCACCCACACCCTGTTACCCTCAATACTCCCCCACCCACGCCCCTCTTCCCTCAATACTTCCCCACCCACACCCCTCTACCCTCAATACTCCCCCATCCACCCACGCCCCTCTACACTCAATACTCGCCTGCCCACCCACACCCCTCTACCCTCAATACTCCCCATCCACCCACGCCCCTCCCCGCCATTTCCTGAGTGTCATTATATAGATATATAAATCATACCATACACAGAATCATAGCATGTGTTGCCAGTTTTGATACTTATTCTTTGACTGTGATCTTCAACATACACAGACGTTTGTTTAACTGGATCTGATATCTTCAGCTTGAGATTGTATAATGTTTAGCGCATGACCTTTCATCTGATTTAGCATGACTGAGCATCATTTTTCTGACTTTTGCCTACTCTGATTTATGTTTGGTTTGAATGAATATCATTTAATTTGTCAATTTTTTTGATGATTGGTGAACTAAAAAAAAAAAAATTGTGAATACCTTGTACATGCTTAACGATGGTCAGAGTTTTGTCGTTAAAATACTTTAATTGGCTTATTTTGTGTAAAATCCATTTTTTGTGAAAATTATTTTAAAATATCTGCTAAAAAATTGTTTACCGGTACCTGCATGTTGTGATCAGTTTCAATAGCAATAAAATAAAAAGGAAACAACAACAATTTTAACTCTTTTCACCCCTATGTAACTTTAGTAGACTCTACCATGCATGGATATGGATGAGTCCATAGTGGTCTACAGTGGTGAAATAGTACGGATAATGATTCTCAGTGTACCATCAATATAAATACCCGGTAACTTTAATGGTGGCTGACAATTTCCTGACCTATTTAACTAGTCACATTTTATCTTGTTTTTAAGAACCAATAATATTTTTTGTCTTAAATATTTTATCTTTAAATTGTTAACAATATTTCTGTAAATGTTTCTGTCATATGCATTTTCATATTGATTATCTTTTTTTCTTATACTAGATGACCTTTATTTTGCAACCTATTTTTTGCCTTTTAGTGTGAATTTGGGTTTCGGAAACGTCTTATGCATTAACTCATTCACCCCTTAAGACACATTTGAACTCTTCCAATTCAAAGGTTGAAATAGTTCATTTTGAAATTTCACGGGTGAATGACCTAAGTGATGGTATACTAGTGTGGCACAACAGAATTTAACTAATTAATCTTTTACCCTTTATATGTTTGGAGGACCAGACATTAACAGTAGCCTGCTAGTCTGAGACTAGTGAAATCTCCAACTGGACTAGTGGTTCTAAACACTGCTGGCCCAATTGACTAGTCACAATTTGGTTTTACGGATACCATGTTGAATAATATTGTGGTTACTTGGTGAAATTTGCACATAGACTAGAAAAAAATCAAAATCAACCAGCGTGACTAATAAGTGGTGTTAACTCATTCACCCCTGAAGACACATTTTAATTCTTCCAAATCAAAGGTTGGAATAGTTCATTTTGAAATTTCAGGGGTGAATGAGTTAAAATCAATTTCTAGCCCTGGTTTGGGTTTGAGATATTATTTTGAAATTGTTTGATAAGAAATATTGAATTAATTTGGAAAAAAGTGCAAGACAGTGTAAACATAAAAACATATTTATTAGGGTACGCCTAAGGCTTAAATAATATTGAAGTACTCAGATCAAGTTAGAAGGCAAATATATAATCTGTGTATAATTCCTTTCACCCCTATGTAGCTTTAGTAAACTCTACCATACATTGATCTGGAGGAGTCCATTATGGTCCACAGTGGTGAAAGGGTTATATAAGGGTACAAGTACTTGATTCTGATTGGCCGACACATTGTAGACAGAGCTTCCCTAAAAGGTGATGATTACAGTCTGACAATCTTTGTATGTTCTAGCATAATGAAAATGTTTAAGCTCATCCCTTTCACCCCTATGTAACTTTAATAAACTCCACCATGCATTGATCTGGATCAGTCCATTATGGCCTACAGTGGTGAAAGGGTTAAATATAAGTTTTAAAATGATGCAGACCGGTGTGTATTGAACAAGGATAGAGGCGCCATGATCTGTTATGTTGTTCTGAACATTGCTCTTTGATGCTGTAGTTATGAAATAGAGAGGATATATGTATATATTAGCTGTTCGTATGTCTGTGTATCTGTCCATCTTTCAGCAACATTATCTTTTAAGAGTTTTTGTTTGTTAACAAATTGTTCAAACAGAGGAACAGTACTAAAGTGATTTGAATGATTTTTTTTATTTTTTTTGCATTTAGTACCCTATTCTGTGTGATTTTACTCATTCACCCCTGAAATTTCATAATGAACTATTCCAACCTTTGAATTGGAAGAGTTCAAATGTGTCTTCAGGGGTGAATGATTTAAATGGAGTAACATGCATACTTGCCAACTCTCCCTATTTAGGAGGAAGACTTCCAATTTTGGACCCTTAAATTTGGTAGTTTCAGCCAGAGTTTTCTAAACTATTCCTTTATTCTAAGATCTAATGATCTCATCTGTAAGATCAACTAAAAATAAGTACATTGTAATCCTAAAGGGTGATTTCGGCTCTAGGGGGTAAATACACACATTTTATTTATGTTTTAATTTTGAACATGTAGGCACGAACTTCCTCAAAGCTAATTGGTTGATTTTTCCAGGATATAGTAAATGCTGCTGTTTTAACCAGGAGAACCAAGTTACACAGATTTCCTTGTTAATGTTTACCTTATACACAGACCTTCCAATAACCCGAAACGTTTATTTTAACGACGCTGGACTAATAAAGATCTAGTGTATCATCAGGTGGTGTTTTATACTTAAGTAGATGGTTGTCACTATGTAAACGTTTATTTTGTAGAGCTATAAAATCGCTATCAAACATTCAGTTTCCTCGTTTCATAAGATTTTTATTTTCTAAGATATAAATAAAAATTAATTAATGTTCACTTTTCTAATTTCCTCAAAGGCTCTCTGAACAATTATTTACAGAATTACAAAATCTTCAGTTTCCTAAAATGAAATTATTAAGCAATTCATTCCCAAAATGTCAACATATTGTAAGTAAATATTTAATCAAAGATCATAATTCAACTGTCTTTGAGACAGTATTTGCAATTTAAGTTAAACCAATTTTTAAGCATAACAAAAATTGGAAAGATGTCAGGGTTAATTGATTTAAGATTCACTAATGACCTGTCCTGTCTTTATGAGCCTTTAACTCATTGACCCCTGAAATTTCATAATGAACTATTCCAACTTTTGAATTGGAAGAGTTCAAATGTGTTTTCAGGGGTGAATGTGTTAAGCATGTAATAATAAAAAATAGCTCTTCTATTATGGAAATTCTATTTCCCTAAGCACCAATAGGCCCTTTGCTAGGCTAGGCTTTACAAAAGGCTAATATTAGGCTGAATGATAGGCTATGCATCTATAGGCCCTAAGATATAGGATCGGCATTAAGATTCTTGGATGGCTTTACAATAGGTCAGCTTGGATGAAGGTACGTGTACATGAATAATAAGCATTTTGAAGCACCATATGTGTAGAACAGGAAATTATTATGTTTACCAATTGATACAGTTGTATTTTAGTGCAGTGTACACCTCGAATAGTCTGTCTATTTAATTCTACAGTTAATTGATATACTGTTCGTTAATATAATGACTTTGATATATTTTTCAGACAATCATCTTAGCTACAGGAGTTGTCCTTACTCTGATCTTCCTGCTGCTGGGATACTTCATCCACACCAGGGCCGGAATCATCTTCTCCCAGACACGTTCTTCTAGGTATTACGCTTACTGAGGACGAAACTGCAGACTTAAACAGTAAATGTGAGCTATCTATATATTGGATCATCTTCTCCCAGACACGTTCTTCTAGGTATTACGCTTACTGAAGACGAAACTGCAGACTTAAACAGTAAATGTGAGCTATCTATATATTGGATCATCTTCTCCCAGACACGTTCTTCTAGGTATTACGCTTACTGAAGACGAAACTGCAGACTTAAACAGTAAATGTGAGCTATCTATATATTGGATCATCTTCTCCCAGACACGTTCTTCTAGGTATTACGCTTACTGAAGACGAAACTGCAGACTTAAACAGTAAATGTGAGCTATCTATATATTGGATCATCTTCTCCCAGACACGTTCTTCTAGGTATTACGCTTACTGAAGACGAAACTGCAGACTTAAACAGTAAATGTGAGCTATCTATATATTGGATCATCTTCTCCCAGACACGTTCTTCTAGGTATTACGCTTACTGAAGACGAAACTGCAGACTTAAACAGTAAATGTGAGCTATCTATATATTGGATCATCTTCTCCCAGACACGTTCTTCTAGGTATTACGCTTACTGAAGACGAAACTGCAGACTTAAACAGTAAATGTGAGCTATCTATATATTGGATCATCTTCTCCCAGACACGTTCTTCTAGGTATTACGCTTACTGAAGACGAAACTGCAGACTTAAACAGTAAATGTGAGCTATCTATATATTGGATCATCTTCTCCCAGACACGTTCTTCTAGGTATTACGCTTACTGAAGACGAAACTGCAGACTTAAACAGTAAATGTGAGCTATCTATATATTGGATCATCTTCTCCCAGACACGTTCTTCTAGGTATTACGCTTACTGAAGACGAAACTGCAGACTTAAACAGTAAATGTGAGCTATCTATATATTGGATCATCTTCTCCCAGACACGTTCTTCTAGGTATTACGCTTACTGAAGACGAAACTGCAGACTTAAACAGTAAATGTGAGCTATCTATATATTGGATCATCTTCTCCCAGACACGTTCTTCTAGGTATTACGCTTACTGAAGACGAAACTGCAGACTTAAACAGTAAATGTGAGCTATCTATATATTGGATCATCTTCTCCCAGACACGTTCTTCTAGGTATTACGCTTACTGAAGACGAAACTGCAGACTTAAACAGTAAATGTGAGCTATCTATATATTGGATCATCTTCTCCCAGACACGTTCTTCTAGGTATTACGCTTACTGAAGACGAAACTGCAGACTTAAACAGTAAATGTGAGCTATCTATATATTGGATCATCTTCTCCCAGACACGTTCTTCTAGGTATTACGCTTACTGAAGACGAAACTGCAGACTTAAACAGTAAATGTGAGCTATCTATATATTGGATCATCTTCTCCCAGACACGTTCTTCTAGGTATTACGCTTACTGAAGACGAAACTGCAGACTTAAACAGTAAATGTGAGCTATCTATATATTGGATCATCTTCTCCCAGACACGTTCTTCTAGGTATTACGCTTACTGAAGACGAAACTGCAGACTTAAACAGTAAATGTGAGCTATCTATATATTGGATCATCTTCTCCCAGACACGTTCTTCTAGGTATTACGCTTACTGAAGACGAAACTGCAGACTTAAACAGTAAATGTGAGCTATCTATATATTGGATCATCTTCTCCCAGACACGTTCTTCTAGGTATTACGCTTACTGAAGACGAAACTGCAGACTTAAACAGTAAATGTGAGCTATCTATATATTGGATCATCTTCTCCCAGACACGTTCTTCTAGGTATTACGCTTACTGAAGACGAAACTGCAGACTTAAACAGTAAATGTGAGCTATCTATATATTGGATCATCTTCTCCCAGACACGTTCTTCTAGGTATTACGCTTACTGAAGACGAAACTGCAGACTTAAACAGTAAATGTGAGCTATCTATATATTGGATCATCTTCTCCCAGACACGTTCTTCTAGGTATTACGCTTACTGAAGACGAAACTGCAGACTTAAACAGTAAATGTGAGCTATCTATATATTGGATCATCTTCTCCCAGACACGTTCTTCTAGGTATTACGCTTACTGAAGACGAAACTGCAGACTTAAACAGTAAATGTGAGCTATCTATATATTGGATCATCTTCTCCCAGACACGTTCTTCTAGGTATTACGCTTACTGAAGACGAAACTGCAGACTTAAACAGTAAATGTGAGCTATCTATATATTGGATCATCTTCTCCCAGACACGTTCTTCTAGGTATTACGCTTACTGAAGACGAAACTGCAGACTTAAACAGTAAATGTGAGCTATCTATATATTGGATCATCTTCTCCCAGACACGTTCTTCTAGGTATTACGCTTACTGAAGACGAAACTGCAGACTTAAACAGTAAATGTGAGCTATCTATATATTGGATCATCTTCTCCCAGACACGTTCTTCTAGGTATTACGCTTACTGAAGACGAAACTGCAGACTTAAACAGTAAATGTGAGCTATCTATATATTGGATCATCTTCTCCCAGACACGTTCTTCTAGGTATTACGCTTACTGAAGACGAAACTGCAGACTTAAACAGTAAATGTGAGCTATCTATATATTGGATCATCTTCTCCCAGACACGTTCTTCTAGGTATTACGCTTACTGAAGACGAAACTGCAGACTTAAACAGTAAATGTGAGCTATCTATATATTGGATCATCTTCTCCCAGACACGTTCTTCTAGGTATTACGCTTACTGAAGACGAAACTGCAGACTTAAACAGTAAATGTGAGCTATCTATATATTGGATCATCTTCTCCCAGACACGTTCTTCTAGGTATTACGCTTACTGAAGACGAAACTGCAGACTTAAACAGTAAATGTGAGCTATCTATATATTGGATCATCTTCTCCCAGACACGTTCTTCTAGGTATTACGCTTACTGAAGACGAAACTGCAGACTTAAACAGTAAATGTGAGCTATCTATATATTGGATCATCTTCTCCCAGACACGTTCTTCTAGGTATTACGCTTACTGAAGACGAAACTGCAGACTTAAACAGTAAATGTGAGCTATCTATATATTGGATCATCTTCTCCCAGACACGTTCTTCTAGGTATTACGCTTACTGAAGACGAAACTGCAGACTTAAACAGTAAATGTGAGCTATCTATATATTGGATCATCTTCTCCCAGACACGTTCTTCTAGGTATTACGCTTACTGAAGACGAAACTGCAGACTTAAACAGTAAATGTGAGCTATCTATATATTGGATCATCTTCTCCCAGACACGTTCTTCTAGGTATTACGCTTACTGAAGACGAAACTGCAGACTTAAACAGTAAATGTGAGCTATCTATATATTGGATCATCTTCTCCCAGACACGTTCTTCTAGGTATTACGCTTACTGAAGACGAAACTGCAGACTTAAACAGTAAATGTGAGCTATCTATATATTGGATCATCTTCTCCCAGACACGTTCTTCTAGGTATTACGCTTACTGAAGACGAAACTGCAGACTTAAACAGTAAATGTGAGCTATCTATATATTGGATCATCTTCTCCCAGACACGTTCTTCTAGGTATTACGCTTACTGAAGACGAAACTGCAGACTTAAACAGTAAATGTGAGCTATCTATATATTGGATCATCTTCTCCCAGACACGTTCTTCTAGGTATTACGCTTACTGAAGACGAAACTGCAGACTTAAACAGTAAATGTGAGCTATCTATATATTGGATCATCTTCTCCCAGACACGTTCTTCTAGGTATTACGCTTACTGAAGACGAAACTGCAGACTTAAACAGTAAATGTGAGCTATCTATATATTGGATCATCTTCTCCCAGACACGTTCTTCTAGGTATTACGCTTACTGAAGACGAAACTGCAGACTTAAACAGTAAATGTGAGCTATCTATATATTGGATCATCTTCTCCCAGACACGTTCTTCTAGGTATTACGCTTACTGAAGACGAAACTGCAGACTTAAACAGTAAATGTGAGCTATCTATATATTGGATCATCTTCTCCCAGACACGTTCTTCTAGGTATTACGCTTACTGAAGACGAAACTGCAGACTTAAACAGTAAATGTGAGCTATCTATATATTGGATCATCTTCTCCCAGACACGTTCTTCTAGGTATTACGCTTACTGAAGACGAAACTGCAGACTTAAACAGTAAATGTGAGCTATCTATATATTGGATCATCTTCTCCCAGACACGTTCTTCTAGGTATTACGCTTACTGAAGACGAAACTGCAGACTTAAACAGTAAATGTGAGCTATCTATATATTGGATCATCTTCTCCCAGACACGTTCTTCTAGGTATTACGCTTACTGAAGACGAAACTGCAGACTTAAACAGTAAATGTGAGCTATCTATATATTGGATCATCTTCTCCCAGACACGTTCTTCTAGGTATTACGCTTACTGAAGACGAAACTGCAGACTTAAACAGTAAATGTGAGCTATCTATATATTGGATCATCTTCTCCCAGACACGTTCTTCTAGGTATTACGCTTACTGAAGACGAAACTGCAGACTTAAACAGTAAATGTGAGCTATCTATATATTGGATCATCTTCTCCCAGACACGTTCTTCTAGGTATTACGCTTACTGAAGACGAAACTGCAGACTTAAACAGTAAATGTGAGCTATCTATATATTGGATCATCTTCTCCCAGACACGTTCTTCTAGGTATTACGCTTACTGAAGACGAAACTGCAGACTTAAACAGTAAATGTGAGCTATCTATATATTGGATCATCTTCTCCCAGACACGTTCTTCTAGGTATTACGCTTACTGAAGACGAAACTGCAGACTTAAACAGTAAATGTGAGCTATCTATATATTGGATCATCTTCTCCCAGACACGTTCTTCTAGGTATTACGCTTACTGAAGACGAAACTGCAGACTTAAACAGTAAATGTGAGCTATNCACTTAAAATAATGTGAAATTTATTGAACGAGATATTTTTGAATGGGATTTTTTGTATGAGATTAATTTTGTGTAAGGGAGTAATTGCATAAGAGATTATTAACATGAGAGATTTTTTGAATAGAGAGTCCAATTTATTGTTTGAGTGAATATTTTGCATGAGAGTAATTGAGTGAGAATTTGTTTGAATGAGATATTTTTTGAATGGAAAGTTTATGCATTGGAGTGATTGAGTGAGAGATTTTTATTGAATTGGAGTTGTTACATAAGAGACGTTTTTGAATGTTATCTTGAATAATGTCGTACTTGCCATCTTTTTGAAATTTCCATGGGAGAGATTGAAGGTGCTGCAAAGTAAAAACATATATACAATGTATACAGGTATGTACTACCTTTTCACGTCCGATCGGGGAATCAAACCCCGCCGCCTTGGTGAAAGGCAAGTGGGCTATATCCACTGTACCACCCGACTACTCTAGGTAGTACATACCTGTATACATTGTATATATGTTTTTACTTTGCAGCATCTAAATGTGGCCAACAAGAGTGATTAATATAAGTTGAAATAACTAGTTTTCATAATTGTTCTAAAATAAATAAAGTTTATATTTTCATTTTTATATACTACCGAGGGGAAAATAACACTTTTAAATGGCATTTTTGGGCTGTTCTTACAGTTGAAATCATCAGATCTTAGAAAAAAAAGCAATTTTAAAGCTAATTCACTGGTTGAAAATGCTCAAATTTAGGGAGTCTCCCTCCAAAATAGGGAGGGTTGGCAAGTATGAAATGTGTTAAATGAGTGCTAATAAATGATCTTTTTTTATCATTGAAGAGAGAAGTAATGAATAGGAGAGTAATTGTATGCTTGTGTTATTGATTTATGTTGACATTAGTATTAGCCATTGACTTGAGCATTAGAACAAGTACAAATGATATCTGTAATAACTTTGTCTTAGATTTAAATGAGATTGTCTAAATATTCAATGTCGTGTCAATTGTGTAACGTAAGGTGTATGCTTGCCGAAGGCTTTTGATTTTGATTTTTTTTTTTTGCAATACTGAAAAATATATGAGATGTAATTATTTACTTGAGTATGTCGATACTCAAATTTCATGAACTCTGAAATAAATAAAATTTAAAAAGTCATGAGTGTGTATCAAAGAATAAGATTTGGAGGAGTGATATTTACATTATATTATAAAAATATAACTCTATAACTCTGATTTAGGAATACTTATTTCTAAAACGGTGTGAAAAAACATGCTGAACTTGAAATACATTTTCCTAATTCTTCATGTTTACGTGTACGTTTTTATAATTGTATTCTACAAAAACAAAATAAGCTTTTGATATCCACAAACACAAAATTAAGAAACGTTTCAAAAACAGGACATTTCATTTACATTTATGAAAGATTTAGAAAATTTAGTTTGATTGCTGTGTAATGTTCGATGTTAAGAGTAGTCTGAGACTCTTTTATCATCAATAGTTAAACTTCACTGAAAAGCAGTGTAAGGCTGTTGTCGTGTTACGAAACCTCATTTCATACTTCTTGTATGTGTATCTCATTTAAGCAACTGATTATAAGGTTATGATATTTGGCTTGTAGGCACCTTGGATTGAGGTTTGAAAGTTTCCTCTGAACTCTGTGTGGACGCTCTACCAATTGAGCTTCTGGTTGTTGGAGGTCGATCCAGTCTAGTTCCGCTACATTCCTCCCTACTTTCTTACATACATGTACTGCCCAGGTCTAATAACCCCCCTTGCCAAGTGTACACCCAGTACTTGAGGCAAAGTTTGGTCATGGTCACCACTGTAACAGCAGAAAAATGCAAGGACAGACCTAGTCTCGCTCAAACAGACGCTTGATCAGTTCGGTGCGCGTAGCTTGCAAAGACAGCAAGAGTCTGGTTGAACGAGACCAGGCCAGACCAGGGTTAGAACCCGGGACCCTTCGAACTCTTTTAGATATCTAACCATATTGAGCGAGGTGGTCGCCGGCGATCAATCCAGTCTTGTTACGTTACACTGGGAAAGTTTGTTTGTTCTCTCTAACAGGGACGTGTTTTCTTCCTTATATATTGACATTGCTATGTCGCTCTAAAGGCTTCCTGATCATGTAACGTAATTAAGTTACTATTTCTAATGACAAGAAAAAATCCCTGGATTTTATCAAATTCTGTAGAATGTTTTTGTTCCTCAAACGAATGATGAATGAATTACCGTATTGTTCCAGTAATGTAACCCTTCTGGGCAGTTATTTTATTTTACGACAGAAATGAAAAAGATCGTGTGCGGCTAGACCTAACATTCTACAAACGATTCAGTAAAGATCCAAATATTTCTAAGTAAATCGGAAACAATCAGGTTAAGTGTGGTTTACAAGTACATACACTTGAAGATTAGTTCAGCACGTCGGTGCAAATTAGCCCCTTTCGGAAAGAAGGGTAATAAAGGTGCTTTAAAAAATCGGAAATATGGTTTGAAGTGGACATGGTCTGGTGATAAAAAGGACTGGGCGATTAATAGAACCGATACGGTACCGTGACAGTCGCCAATGTTGTAACATATGATCTTTATGACACGTTAAGGCGACAATTAAATAAATCAAAATAGTTAAGAAAATAGACTACAAACGCCTCTTGATTCCTTCTAGTCATTTACTATAGTTCAAATGTCCTTGTAAAACTTATGTGGGCCCACCTGCAGAATTGGGGGTTTCCTTAGCGTCCTCTTCTTAAAACCATTTAAATCTACAAGGCATGTAAGATTTGGGATATTTGTAGTTTATACTTCCTTGTTCCTAGTAATTTCTCTGTTCTAAGAGCGGCCCAACATCATGTGGTTAACAGTCGATAGTTTCACTCACCTATTTTATTTCCGATCACCTATAAATATATACTGTAACAACGAAACAGAAAAAAATAGTCAGTCTAATTTACATTTACAATCTAATAATATTTTTCATTCAGTACATATAAAGTTAAAATGTAGGAATTTAATCTCGAGCTGATGACGTGATTGTTTTTATTCATTACATAGAGGAAATGTTACTTGTATACTGCTGTTACGGATACCAAGCTTATATGAAAAATAATTTGACCGAAAATTATTTGAGGTTACCTGTCACGTCGCGTAGGTAACCACAGACACCAAGCTTATATGAACAATAATTTGATCGAGAATTATTTGAGGATACCTGTTCTTCTGCCATCTGTTTTTTCGTCCCTTGATTTCGTTTTGAAAATAGCATTAGCACAGTCGGGCTAGGACACTTCCATTGACCAGGGCAGCTCGGTCAGTTAGAGCGACAATGTAACAGTCTGAGGTCTAGGGTCCGAGTCCTGTGTCCGTATTCTCATACTCAAGCATGGATTCTGTGCTCAAACCACTTTTCTTGTAACTCACTCAAGTCATGTTAAATGACCAGAAAGTCAATTGTAAACATTGAAAACAGTATTCATTTTTTAGTCTCATTTTCCCCCCTCACAAATCATTGACGAATAGCATCTTTTATAATAATTCATGACCGGAAAAAGAAATCAGGATTGAGCACAAAATGATGCTTAACCATGAGAACGGTTTTATGAATGCGGGCCCTGGTCTGGCCATATTGGAATTGTTTTTACACTCATAGACTGTTGTTGATAATTTTTGTTGAATATTTCTCTTGTTTTTCATGCGATTACCGCGAGCTATTATTATTCTTCATAAATGCTTTATCAAAGCTAAAGCTTTACCGGGAATGTAAGTTTCCACTTTGATGTCCCTTAAGTAAGCTTGAAACAATGATACAGCACAGTGATACCATTTTTCGATGTTTCATGAAGTATACCGAAAATTATACTGCATGATATATGGCAAATCATACATCAAATTCTTCCTGTCGATCTAGACTGCTACCGGCGTAATATTATGAACGGTTATTACAGAGTTAGCATCCTTGATTACATTACAGGTGTATTGAAAGACGAGGCTAGTACCTGTGGATACAGCCTCAGTAGACGAGGTGAAATCGGAATTATAATTCGATATAAAAGGAAAAACAACAGGAATAGACATTTCTCATCAACATAAATAAGGTATGTTAAGAAAAAAGATAAATTTATGTTGATGAGAAATGTTTATTCCTGTTGTTTTTCCTTTCATAGTAACATTTAACAAGTAGAAGATATTTGTGTAGCTTTGACCTTCTATTAGACTCAAAGTCGAGGGGGGTCAGTGTTCAAGCTTGAATTGATGTTTTAAGCGGAAATAATACATAGATGAGGAAGTTGTACCGACGTTCGACTTAAACCATATAGTCACGTGACAGTCGCACTGACACAACCTATAACGTGTACTTATACTGACAGCGACATAGCTTGGAACGTGATGTTTTGGAATTTAAAGGTAACCCTGGGCGTGTTCTTCCTGGCTCTGGCTCCCCCACACGGTATGTCCATCTCAGTTCTCTTATTTCATATTTATAGATGTTTTTTCTGATTTATTTAAACCTAAACTCGTATTACTCTAATTTATTGTGATGTAATTTAATTTACTATGGAGTACATTTACATGGCCCTTCGATTCGCCTCCGAAGGTTTTACTATGACTCTATGATGTGTTATAATATAATAATAATAAAATAATTTTATTCAAGTGTCACATATTGATCTACATATAAGACAGGTAAAATGTACATAAAATTAGATCAATTTCCAGCCAAAGTTAATCGACTTAGAAGACACAAAAATAAAACAGTTGTCATTTTTTACAATGATCAATATTTGTCAGCTTACTTTAGCTTATTATACATTATCAACACTCGTTCCTGTCAAATGTGTCCTGTTGTTTTGATGTCTATCTCGGCGTTTTTCGTTCCGCAGTGAATTGATTTCTATTCTAATTGTCCCTTTTAATTGACACCCTGTGATTGTTTATCTTGTGTTTCAATGACAATAAAACATACAATGTCATATAAAAGAAGGATAATGTTTCAAGCTTTTAACTTTTTTAGTTTTGTAATAATCTCGATTTATGAGGAAATTAAATACAACATTTCTGTCAGTCTGTCAGTCGGTAGAACTGATTTCATTCTTCGTATACTTTTCAGATGAACTTAAAAAAATGTAATGAATCATTTTCGGTATTTTTCGGTATTTTTTTTTTGATTTTCAGAAAAAAACCTTTGGATTAATATTTTCATTTTCGTTTTTTAGTTTAAACCATATTTTATTCATGTCAATAAACATGTACAATAACATAGACATTTCATTCTGATGATTGGGAAACAAGTACTATTGTACTTATACATAGCCCTTCTCATCGTTTATAACCATCTTAGCTGATAATACGTATAGAACTTAGCAGTGATAGCCTAAAAATGTACATTTTTCGTTTGTAGTTCTCTGGGCTATTTATAGCCAAGAGGCTATAGCCATGGCTCTAACATTCTGTCGATGTTTTGCTTGTAATCGCACCAGTGATATATCTATGTATTTGTGGGAGAATATTGTGATGCCCGATGATTGCAAGTTTGATTCAATTGTTTTTCTATTTTTTTGAAAATGTACTCAAAGTTAATAAATACTCTTGTAATTAATTAATATGTGAATTTTGACATGCTAAAAATAGCACACACGCCAACTCTCAGCGTGTGTAACGTAGCTTGTAGCACCCACTACACTGTGTGTGTGTATACGTGAGTCCAGAGACTAACGTCTATCCTTAGTCCAGAGAGGTATATATATATAGTCATTTGAACTGAGGAAGGCAGGCTTGCAGAATGAATAAGTATGTAGTTTTTGCTGTCCATTATAAAGTATCAATGTTTGTTTGATGTTTGCAGTTCGATCCTTGTAAATTGGATGTAAAAATGCAATAAAGTTGATTTATTGATATATATATATTCCGTCTTTGCGTATTGCAGAGTTATCTTCTCTTGTGAGCAGGTATTGTTTGTTACGTCATTGGTTTGTGAGAGTAACGTCATCAATTTTTGAGAAAACGACGTAATTTTCTCACACAAACCAATGACGTAACAATCAATACCTGCTCCCAAGAGAAGATAACTCTGCAATACGCAAAGGCGGACTATATATATATATCAATCAATCAACTTTATTGCATTTTTACATCCAATTTACCCAATACGGCCAAACTGGGAACGGGGCATCCGTGTCTTACAGACACATTTCTACAGTTTTGAGAAAAAAAAATTGTCATTGTTAAATTGTATAACAGAATTGATGCAAGGTCTCTTGTTTCCGGGACCTGACAACAGGATCCAGCAGTTTCAATCACTTCAGTCATATGCTCAGAAAAGTACGTAGCCCTTGGCCTCTTGCTTAAAGACGGCACGCCGTCTACAATTGAATCCCGAAAAGAAACCTTGAAGAAAATGTTCGCTGAATCAATCACCAACATTGACGCCAATAAGTATTCCAGAGACAGAACTCGTTAATAAGTAAATGTGCATAATCTAAAAAAGGGAGAAAACATGGCGGAGTGAGTACAGGTACGCGATGAAGGCTCCGACTCTATGAAGGTTTAAACGGCCTCGGTTGGGACTCAGATTGTATAAACAACATATGTCATGAGTGTATAAATAAAACTTAAAAAGTTAAAACTTTAAAAACAACATGTTGTTACTTTGTTTGTATCTTATTGCCATTTTTATACAAAGGGAGTTAGTGTAAAAACATTTAACCATAAGGAAATAATTATATAATTTGTATCGTTTTTCTCATTTAAATTTACCTTATAGTCTAGCTGTCGTGATTCGGAAATTATATTTTTTGATTAATGGCTATGTACATTTGTATGTGTTTAGCTTAGGTTCTTTCGTCCATCAAAATTCAATTTAAAAAAAACACTATTTCCTTGATTATAACTTTGGCGAAGTAGGAAGTTTGTTTAAGAGTTTACTCTGTAGCAGAAAGAGAAAAAAAACTTGCTGAAAATCTAACAAAATTGACTTAATACTAGCTACTCCGACCCTTTATTTATTTTGATAATTTCAACTTGCATTGTTTGTATGTTCAGGCGTAAAGGCCCCTCGACACAAAAAGGCCATATTGGGACTAAAGCGTCAACAGTTCACAACCATTATCGAAACCATAAATAAATGTTTTCATAATAGTTAAGTGAACAGATTTTAAAAAGTCACTTTAAATTTCAATAAAAGATTTTGAATTTCGACAGAATCGGGGGCCAAAGAAGGTCCAAACCATACAAAGGTTTTTCTTTTACATTAATAGCAATACTACTTAGTTGACATTTTTTTCTAACCAAAGGCTTAAGCCATTTCCCTTTGTTTTCATAATGAACTATTCCAAATTTTGAATTTTTCAATTCAACTTTATTCTCTTTCACAATACAATGTATAGAGAAACATTTTTACAATATAATATATAGTAAATGTAGTGTTCGTAGTCGGTAGTACACAGTACTGTTTCATAATATATACACATTAGTACAAAGTTTCTTCAATGTTTTTATATTAGTAGTATTCATCAATTCATAAAACTTAATTACATTTGGTCTCGTCCAAAAATATTTGTCTATATATAAAATTCGAAACCCAGACGGACACTCAATCAAGTAATGGATTCGTCACCAATTTGCTGACTGTTACAGTGTGGACATTTTCTTTCATTTTACTCTATATTATGCCATCTGCCGGTTTCAACAATGAATTTGTGATTAGTAGTCTTAAATTTACAAAATGTAACTCTATCTGTATCACTTAAAATATCTAAGTAATTTTCAAAGTGACAATTTTTTTTTAAATCCTATAACATGTAGCTTTTGATGAAGTGTGTGCATCACTCTGCCATTTCTGTAAATACTGGTCGTACAATCTTTGTTTAATAACATGCTTTAGCCATGTGATATTACATTCTGAAGAATATTGGACATTCCATAGGTAACTCATACCACATTCATTTAAAATACGTTTAATAAAGCTTATATATGGAACCGGTTTATCATCAACATTATGTTGATGGCAAAGAAATTTATACAATATAATATTAATTTATTTCCTTTAGAATGAGTCAATTGTGACCAATATGATATTATTCTTGTTTTTTCTTTTATTTCAAGTGGACTAGTACCTAGTTCTCCATATACCATATAATTTGGGGTGCTACTTACAACCCTAGTAATAATTTACAGAACTTTAAATGTACACGTTCAATTACCTTAAGGTCAGTAAGACCCCAAACTTCACAACCATATAACAGTATGGGTTTTACAATCTTGTCAAATGAATCATATATACAATGAACTGATAAATTATGTAGTCTGCCTTTCTTTATAACGTCATACATTGCTATAGTAGCCTTTTTAATATTGTATTTTTTCGTTTCATTGAATGAACCAGTTCGACTAAATGCCGTACCCAATTTGGTAAAATTGTCCACCAACTCTATCACCTCATTATTAAATAAAAATACATTTCTATTGATTTTACGTCTTAACTAAACACTATACATTTGGTTTTTCCTATATTAACCTTTAATTTCCACTGTTTACAGTGTTCACTGAATCCATTTAATTGTAGTTGCAAGTCAACTGGACAGTCCGAGAAAAGTAGTGTATCATCAGCATATAGTAAAATAAAAAGCTTTATGTATACATGTAGATTATTTTCTAATTTAGTACTAAGGTTTGTCAAACCCTGAACGTTATTTTGGACCATGAACTCTTCTAGATCGTTCAAGTACAGACTAAATAAAAAGGGAGACAGATATTCTCCTTGTCTCAAACCATTTTACATGGAAAATAAGCAGAACATTCACCATTAAAAGATATATTTGACTTAATGCCTTGATACATGTTAAAGATAATTGTTAACATTTTCCCATTAATTCCGCTCATTAACATCTTGTTCCACAAGCCATTGCGCCATATTTTATCAAAGGCATTTTCAAAGTCAAAAAATGCACAATATAATTTACTTTTCAGCATCTGAGTCAAATTTATCAAAGAGTAAAGTACAAAAATGTTATCAATAGTAGAATCTTTTTTACGAAACCCGGTCTGATTTTCACATATCAAGCTGACCTCCTCTGTGTATTTCTGTAGTCTTTCATTTAATATACTAGTGAACAACTTTCCTTAACAACTAACAATCGTAATTGGTCTATAATGTTTAGGTTCCATAGGTGAACCTTTATTTTTAAAAATAGGAACAATAGTCAGCCATTTTGATGGGAATTTCCCACTATTGAAAATAATATTAAACACTTTGACATACAAATCAGTCATTTTTGTAACAGAATGTTTGATATATATTCATTCATAATATTGTCATCAGAGCATGTTTTGTTATTTTTCAACGACCTAATAGCTCATTTTACCTCCTCCTTTGTTATATCACAGTTTAAAAACTCATTAATGGTATTAACAATATCCATAGGCACATCAGTACCGTTTTCATCATCATCA